CCAGGTTTGTTTACATTTTCTCTCTCATTATTTACCAAACCAGAATTTCATCCTGTGTTTCTTATTAAATCCACTGTTTTACTACATTTTATGTTCCAGCACAAATCAAACCATAAACCAAACGATCAACCAGGATGAAGCTGGAGACAGCCAACATGCTTCTCCTCACCGAGGTCAGCGTTAACCGTGACGAGTTCTGCTTTAGACGTTTCTGTTTGTAAGGTGATCAGATCCATGTATATGAGTTTTAATTGTTTTATAGGTGATGCTTGTCTCTATGAATCAGTCAAAGACCACGATGACACAAAAAATGGTAAAGTATAAACAGCAGATTATAAGTATGCAGACTCTTTGATTATTCTCATTTATGTGTAAATGTTTGAACTCTATTTTAGTTGAATCTGGGGATGTCACATATTCTTTGATTGAGTTTAAAAACATCACTCAGAAAGGTGAGTATTTATTCTGCTACCAATACAAAATACACTAGTTTACATGCTTTTATTGGACAGTAGTATCCAAATGAAGGAAAAACTAGACTTTCATTCATGTTATCGCTCCAAGAAGAAAAAGCATGAAACCAGCTGATCGCTGTAATGTGCTCTGTTCAACAAATAAAATAATAAATAGAGGAGAAAGTGGAAAAAGGTGGAACACATTTAAAAAGTTAAAATTCAGGGACTTCAATCAGTGCAGTTAGGAAGCATAAAACATCGTGAGTCCATTTCAGCTGCTTTGGTGCAAACCGCTGGTATTGTGAGACGTTACCATCAGGCTGCACAGGCAGACCAGGACGGCCCATTCTCATGTGCATGCTTTTGATCAAACTGTTAGAAATAGACTCTGCTAACACAGCACGAGGCCTCATGTCCTTTACTAGGACTTGTACTCACAGCACAGCTCGACTGAACAACAGCATCAAGAAAAGTCAGTCAGGGGGATAAAGAGAGAGCAATGACCTGTGAACACCACCTCGAAGATATTCTCTTGTTGGGTTTTTGTTGTTGTTTCCTCTTCAGTGCACCTCTTGTCATTCTGAGTTGCATCAAAGCTGCTGAAATGGAGCCAGGTATCCCTGAAGTTTGAATGAAAATGTTTCATACTGTGATAGTCGAATGTTCCCTTAATTTAATTTGAATAATGAATCTTTTACAATAAAACAATAAACCAAAGAACAATTAATAATCAGTCCAATTCCTTCAGTATTTAAAACCTTTGCTGATTTGTTTTTGCTTTGCTGATTTTTCAGAGATTCCACTTTCCTTTTTGCAGAGTGTAATTTAATGTAATTACTTTTTTCCATAAAGGTTTTTATGTTCTTATAGGTGCTGCAGGTTATAAACCTTAACCTATAATCACGGGATTCATTTTAATCCTGTTCTCAACAGAGACAATACATTCAGTTTAGTCCAATCGTGTCAAAGATCTGTATTTTAACTGAGATTAGCCAGCATCATTCTTCTCGTGTTTCATGTGATTCTAATATCAGGGGTCATCTATCACTGAGGAGACCCTTCTGAATGCTCACTGGCTGTTTTTGATGTAGGCACAATGTGAAAGAAGCTTTTTTAAATAATGACAACAACGGGCTGTCAAAAAAAATCTTTTTCAATAGATGAGAACCTCCCTCAGTCAGTCCATGTGATGAGTTAGGTCTTTAATGACAAAATGATTTCAGTATAAAGAAAATCAAAGTTACTCCAAAGTTAGTTTATCGTCTGTCTGTCCTCCTTTAGATGAGAGCCCGTTGTATGCAGAGGTCTCCCACAAGAGAGCTAAAGCCAAGAGAAACAAGGGCAAGTAAAGTAGTAAAGCACACATTTCTTTTTGCTGTCTGTTTACACTTTTTACCCCTCAGTCTAAAAGGCTGATTTGAGGTATTGTCATCCTGCTGGTTGTGTGGACTTAGAATTAAGATGTTACTGACAATCATCTTTGACTAATAATGTCTTTATTTGCAGAAAAATCAGCCTCTGCAGCAGCTGAAGAAGTCATTTATTCTGAAGTCAAGTCACAACCAGCTCTTGGTAATTGCACAGAAATAACAGACTCATTATCGCTATAATGATGAACTCAAACGAGATAATATCTAATGCTGAGAAATGTTAGTCAGTGTAGAGAACATCCTTCAGTCATGTCATGTAGTTTAGGTGTTGAATGACAGAATGATATAAATATAAAGGAAATTAAAGACAGTCAACCTTTTCTGATCAGCGTCTGTCCTCTTTAGATTACAGCCTGTTGTATGCAGAGGTCTCCCACAACAGAGCTAAAGTCAAGATACATAAAGGTAAGTAAAGTAATCTAAAA